ATATTCTCCAGGTTTCTGTCTGTACATGTTAGCAAAATCAAGTAGGTCTTTTCGGGTGTAGCGTATCACCTCCTCAGTCACACTTTCTGTTTCACCTCTTGGGGCTCGCTTGGACTTGACTTTAGTTACAGGTCTAGCAGCAACAATGGGTGGTTGAGGCAGTTCCTGAGAGCATTCAGGAATGTCTTCCATGTCCTCTGCCTCAGGCACTGACCCAGCAGGAACAGTTTGGCTAGTCCCATCAAACTGAGGGGGGAGGGAATAATGGTTTTACAGTAATCCGCTCAGATGGGAGGGATTCAACAGAATTTACAGGCTCCATATCCTGATCTTCCTGATCATCTGCCCATATGTCCCCATTCCAGGTTTCAGGATCCCATTTTTTCCCAATCAGTGCCCTCACTTTAACGTCAGACACTGTTCCGGATTGGCAATGTAATTGGCATTATAATTCAGCCACCCTTACAATAAGACCCTGGGTTTGGTTTTCAGCAGTATCAGCTCTGTTACTAGAAGATATAAGGCTTGCTTTCAGAGCACAACTGGAAGCACTAAGGTCTTTTATGTGGTGCTTAAGCCGAGACTCAGCAGCTCTGAGTTCATCTTGCTCTTTCACCACTTTGTCTAGTGTAAGTAGGACCAACCAACCAGCTTCCTTATACTCCCCATGCTGACAAAATTGCAGAAAAGTATAAAATATCTGATCACCCAGAGTGTCACTTCTCACAAGTACTTGATCTATTGGTGGTGCTATTTCGCATATTAGTGTTGCCACCTCACACTACGGATTAGCAGACCCCTCTTTACTAACAGATGCAGGGTCACGAGTGTCTTTAAGATTAATCAAACTGGAGAACCAATTTAGGAAGCCCATCCTTATGATTATGAGGGATGGGTGGAGAAAGGAGGGTAAACTACTGTTTTAGCTCTCTAGTACTGCTATTACAGAAATACCACAAATAGATGGCTTTAACAGATAGGAATTTGTTCTCTTACAGTTTAGGAAGCTAGAAGTCAAATGCCAAAAGCTAGAGTGCCAGCTCTAGGGGTTGGGTGAAGGACCCTTCAACTAGGGCTTCAGCTCTGCCTCTTATTCCAGGCCTACAGGAGCTGGAGGTGTCCTGTAACTAATGCAGCTGATGGCTGCTGAGGCTGATGAACCCAAGGTCAACAAGTAGAATGGCGGTCTCAAGATCAACAGGCAACATGTCAGACCACTGGTGCAAGTCCAGGAACAATCCCAAGATTGGCAGGCCACTGAGATGAAGAGTCAGCCAGATGCGGGATCAAGATGCTCCAAAAAGCTAGAGACCTTTCCCAAAGCTTTTCCTTATATACTGGAAGCAGGCCATACCCCAAAGACAGCTCCTTTTCCACTGATTAACATCTCACAGCAGATTCCACCACAGAGGTGATTACAATGTCATCATGGGGAATACCTACATCTAGCAGCCAAGCCACTCAGAGCAATGGCCCAGCCAAGTAGACACACACTCTTAACTACCACAGCCACTGACTAGAAGACAGACACTACCACAGCCACTAACTAGAAGACAGATACTAACTTGGTTAGAGGGATGTTGGCAGTAGTAGCTGGGTACCATCTAGTTTTTCTCGTCTTAAGTCATGTAGGCTGAGGTTCCTATGGTCCACTAGTCTCTTGGACTAATTGTTTCCATGCATCTTTGGTTTCTTCATTCTTCTTTGCTCTGAATGAGGAGCCCCATTGTTGCATTTAGATGGCTGCTTACAAGCTTTTAAGTCGCTTGTCACTCCTCACTGAAGTAGAACATAGAACAATGTTTTTATGTAGTATGTTATGCCAGTTGAGCTTTATGTCCTCTGCAACCATGATCCTTAGCCCACGGACCCAGCGACTCACTCCCTCAAGGTGTTTGGCTGTGGCTAAGAAGTTACCATAACTTTGCCCTCTGTTGGCTCTATTATATATTGACTTTCTTACAGCACATACAAATATGTATGTAGAAATAACGTCTGCCAAACTTATATGTTCCCTTTACCTACCCGTACCTGATCATTTTGCCTGTTTGGATATGGTAATTAGATCTTGCTCATCTCTAGAGTATTAAATTAGGATGTACTTTATTAAAACAATCTACTTTAAACATGTTTTTCAGCCGCCTGTCTTGGTTAGATGGCTCTGGATTAGGATTCTCACTGGAATACCCCACCATTAGTTTACATGCTGTGTCCAGAGACCTAAATGCTTATCCACAAGAACATTTGTATGTTATGGTGAATGCTAGATTTGGAGGTATGTATGCTATAATTTAGCCTTGAGTTTTCTTTGGTGCAAATTACATTTTTAAAAGCAGCTGCTGAAAATAATCAATGTAGTATTCAAACCATTGACCCACTTTGGATAATGGTTTATTAAGCTAAATTTCAGCACAGTAAAATAACTTGACACATGAAGATAATGGATATTTGTGTATCTGCCTTTTATTTTTCATATATTAACACTTAGATTTCTTCGTTTACTGTAGATTTGTATTTGTAAGTTTTCCTCTTAAGTTTAACTGTTTATTTTCTCTTTGTAAAAAGCTTTATATTTGGCACCCTTGGATTAGTGTATTTTTTGCTTTCTAGAATTTAGGATAGAAGTGGAGTTGTTTTTGTTTTTTTTTTTTGCTTTGCTAGAGCAGTGATTCTGAACTGGGGATGATTTTTGCCCCCTAGGGGATATTTGGCAGTGACATTTTTTATTGTCATGACTGGGGTAGGGGTAGGGGTGGAGGCTGGCATCTAGTGGGGGAGGCCAGAGATGCTACTAACCATCCTGTGTTGCTTGGGACAGCTCCCCCTCCACCCCCGACAGAGAATTATCTGGTCCAAAATGCCATTATAAAAATATTGAATGATGATATTTTTAAAAGAGTTAAATAAATGGTGGCATCATTAAAAAATTACTTTTGTTCTTATTCTAGAGGAATCAAAAGAATCCATTACTGATGAAGAAGAGGAAGATAGTGACGATGATGTTGAACCTATTGCTGAATTTAGATTTGTGCCTAGTGATAAATCAGCATGTGAGTGTTTTATAGTATTATTACTTTTTTATGTACATGTTCTCCCCAGTGGCTCACACATGCACATACACACCCACATGTTTACCTTTACCACCATTACCTCCACTTTAGTGCTTTTTCTTTGTTTTAGCTTCTGTAATATTATTGAGGACCTATTAATATCAAAAGTTGTGAATGTAGTAAGAATGTAGTAAACACCATGTTACCTGGTATATTTTGTGAATGGTGGACTTCATTATTTTTGTTGACTTGATGCTATGTGCTGTGGGTCTCACCAGATGGATGACAGAGGAATTATGACATCCTAAAGTGGAAGACATCAGGATGACTGTAGAGAGTCCTACCAGATCAGAGGGGTTTCACCCTTTTAGCAGCAATCTGACCAAGACCGTAAAACCAAACTCACTGCCATCGAGTCCGTTCCGACTCATGATGACTCCCTTTGGGTTTCCAAGGTGGTAAATCTTTACAGAAGTAGATTGCCCAGTCTTCCTTCTGAGGAGTGGCTGGTAGGTTTGAGCCACCCATCTTTTGGTTAGCAGTCAAATGCCTTAGGCACTATGCCACCAGAGCTCCTTTCTGACCAGGACACTGACCCTTTTTCTCAGACAATTGAGCCAGCCTTGAAAAAATCCAATAATACTTTGAATTGAATTTTTATTATTTTGTTACTTGTCCGTTGTCATTAACACTTCAGAGGTTAATCCTACTTGGAATTTAGCAAGTTTTAGAAATAATGTGACCTTAGTATTTATCTTTTGTCTACCCATTAAATTTATTTGCATTGATAATTATGAAATTTTTAATATACATTAACCAGAGAAAATATTAGTTACAGTTTAATTTCCTTGCTCAGTGGAAGCAATGTTCACTGCAATGTGTGAATGCCAGGCTTTGCATCCAGATCCTGAGGATGAAGATTCAGATGATTATGATGGAGAGGAATATGATGTGGAAGCACATGGTTAGTGAAATGAATTTTTAATTTTTCAAATATTTTAAGCATCTGTTTATACTAGGGATAGGAGATGTTCCTATAAAGTACCTAATATGGTATAGTTATTATGTCTAAGCCCTTTGGAACAGACAAATTGGGGAAATACATGGGCTTTCTAAGCTTGAGAGTTAAAAGAAGTAGAGATTATTTAGGGGGAGAATATGGATAAAGACAAATAGGAGGAAAGAAAATGATAAGTAGGAAAGTGGGTGTCAGGAGAGTCTTTTAAATCGTGGCAGCCACTACCAGAGAAAGAGACATCTCTCTCCATTCCTTGAGAACCTTTATCATCTAACCTTTATTTAGCATATTCCTTCAAAAAGCTCACTGCCAAGAATTTCTTTTTTCCACAGCCGTACTTGATTTACTCTAGGACTATTTCCCCTTGCTTCCCCAGACCAGAATACAGTTGCTTTGCTGGGATAGTCTTCTAGCTTGAGATACCAACTGTTCTCGTTCCTTTTTCCCTCTGGTCTTATGCACACCAATCTGGGTATCCTAAGGCCTTTGCTCTATGTGTACCCCCTTTCTAGCCTGAGACAAACTCCTTTTGGACTTCTTCACATACATAAATACATCCCTATCTTTGGTGAGGTTTTTGAGTGATTTTAATTTATTTTTATCGTTTTTTATGTTTTCCAGGATTTGTGAGTTTCTAAAAAGAGCATGTATTTTAATCAGGAAAAATATCCTTAAATACAAATTAATATTGAATTAATTTATATTCACCTGTAAAATTTCCACCTTGGGATAATATAGTACTCTCTGACCTCAGGAACATTCTCTTTTCCTTCTAATCCCTGCACATGTGATTCTGTGGGAATTACAGTTTACTGGTTAATTATCTCTTGGAATCCCTTTTCATCCTGGAGGGTAGGGACATTTTCTTTGCATATATCTCTGACAGATGACCTGTATATGTATGTTAAATGAATGTTGAAAAGTATTGTTACAGAATCCTCTTTTTACTGTACATTATACTCAGCAAATGCATTATTGATTATCTTTTTTTTTTTTGTCTAATTGTTCTACAATAGCTTAAAAAGTTTTTTGTTTGTTTAGAACAAGGACAGGGGGACATCCCTACATTTTATACCTATGAAGAAGGATTATCCCATTTAACAGCAGAAGGCCAAGCCACATTGGAGAGATTAGAAGGAATGCTTTCTCAGTCTGTGAGCAGCCAGTATAACATGGCTGGGGTCCGGACAGAAGACTCAATAAGAGATTTTGAAGGTGAGCTTCTGCTTTCTCTGCAGTTGTGAACACTCAAATGGGCACTTGGCACCTGGACAACAAGGTAAGTTATGCAGAGGCATATAGGTTCTTTTGGAAACTGAAACAGAGAAATCTTGGAATTACCTCTGTATAGTATAGGAAGCAAATTAATAGAAATACAAAATGGGCGTTCCTATGTAGTTATTTTCAGTGATCATTTATCTAACTACAAAAGTGTATATTTAGAAAGTGTACGTAGGCAAAGAAGAAAAATTAAGTATAATTCTGCCCGGGAGATACCTGCTATTAATTTTCTGCTGCATATCCTTCCAGTCCGTTTATTTCCCTTTTTGTTTATGTGTGTGTACATGTATTACTACCATTTTCATTTTAAAAATTGATTCTTACCTGATTATATTCAAAATTAAGATGATCAGCTGATTTAAAGGCTAGGCAGAAGATGGCATTCAAGAAACTTGAATTTTCTTCTTGTGACAAACTTACAGACCTGGGAACAAGTGGCTTTATATGTTTGTTTCTGTTTTCTTATGTTTGTAAGTTGTTTGTAAAATATTTTTCCTATCAGTGTAGCTCCCTTTTCTGAGTATCGTATTTCATTTAGAAACTTAAGGTGTTCTTTTGACTTTGTTGTTGTTGTTGTTGTTAAGTGCCATCGAGTCATTTCCAACTCATAGCGACCCCATGCACAGAAGAATGAAACACTGCCCGATCCCGCGCCAGCCCCACAATCCCTGCTATACTTGAGCTCATCATTGCAGCCACTGTATCAATCCATCTCATTGAAGGCCTCCCCCTCTTTCATCGACCCTCCACCCTACCAAGCATGACATCTTTCTCCAGGGAATGGTCCCTTCTTA